AATGCTGCGGTTTTACTTCAAAATTCAATGTCAAATACAGATGTGACCAACACAGGAAATCCAAGGATTGCATACGGTTCTTGCAGTGTTGCACATTTCGTGCACTAATTTGGTTATACCGGAGTCAGAGATTATTGTCTCCAATCTGAACAGTTGGAAAGAACATGGAATGCCAGAATCCATGGCAGATCGTGCAACCACATTGTGACTTGCATAAAAGCAGTCCCCTTAGGACGATAAAGATCCCATGATATTATTCAAAAAAAAGACAAAGGAGATCTGAAAAACAATCCTCAAGTTAATTAAGAATTCATCTCATCTCACAGCTGTTTGTGCAATGTAGAACGTGTGCAAAATGCTGTCATATTTGCCCACAGAAAAAGTTACTACACTGCACTATAATTATTGAAAAGTTCTTTGAGAGGTTTGTACCGAAATGAGTCAGACGCCCCAGCGCCCACCTGGTTGAAGTGCTATCGACAAAACCTGGTGAATAGAATTACGTCCATTGTGTTAGCTTCTGAAATACCAAACATGACAAGGTTTTACATCACCAATCTTCAGAAATCTACTCCACTCAAAAAGAGTTGTTATCTATCAATGAGTGTATGAACTACATGATGTTTAAGATTTTGAGCGACAGGTGAGTGACATCTTGTGCAGTATGTACGATCATTATTTGATCGAGTGCTTCTAACAATCTTTTATTCTAAGGTAGTTCCTTAAACCGCATGGACAGTTCTCCATTCCATCAGAATCATGCTGTTGTGAGGGTCAAGTGACAGCATATATGAAGCAGGAGAGTTTTCCAATCCCTGCTGAGAGCTCACTGTCAAAACTCAAACCCTGCCCAAGGCATCGCTACTAATAAGCCCTTGAGTCCTGACTGGCAGCTTTTTCAAATGCCCATTAGTGCATCCCACGGTGTATTTAAGTGAATGCAGTTCAGATTAGCAGCAAGTTGGAGAAGCTGGCTAATATTTTACTGCTATAAAATGCCGGGAAACCAGCCAGCCTTATGCAAAACTCAAGTTGATTTTCCAGACTAAGTTTTGAAGTCCAAAGGCTTCTGTTATTTTTCTTTGAATCACCAATACATTTCACCCATGGGGTATTGTATAATTGAGGACTCATTTAATCAGTAGAAGTATGCAGTATATCAGATGACTGTGCCACCAACTGGTAGGATCTAGGCTTTGCAACTACCAGTTGCACAGTGTAGAACTAACTTCCTCACCATCTTGGTTAAGGCGTCAGCTGAACTGGACCCACAAGCTCTGCTCCACTTGGCGTAAGGGGGAGGAGAATAGCTGCCAGAAGGGACAGGTCTAATTCTCTGCATCAGTAAAATCAGTCACTACATTTGACCGTAATTATCTGTGAAACACTTTGAGATATTTTGAGAAGGTGTTTCAGACTCAGCTGAAATAACGTAGGTCAAGGGTGGTCCAACCTTTTGGCTGTCGAGGCCAGATACCCTATTTGAGAAACGTCCGCGAGCCTCATAATGATAACAATAATTCTTGCATTTGATTCAGTACCTTCGAGACGTCTCAAAGTGCTTCACAGGATATACTGTAAAGTGTAGTGAACGAGTGTTTTGTGGGTGAAACGCATAAATAAGCAATAGTTATGTGTTTTCCTTCCAGAAACATAAGATAACATTTATGGGTTATGTAGGTAACGGTTGGACCAGATGAAATGGAGGGGGTGGGGACGGATGAAATCGGGCCACCAGTTGGATCACCTTGATGTCGGTCACAGTGGGAGACAATTGTAAGAGGGAGGATTAATTGAAGCCTTTAAACAGTGATTGAAAAGCAAAAAAAAATCTTCTCCATGTAATGCTTCCTAATATCTAGAATATAGATTGTATCTTGTGTCCCATTATTCTGTTGATTTGTATTTTTGAAAAACATGAATTAAAAGGTTACACCACACCCTGCCCTTCACAAAGACTGAATGGGAAACCAGAATAATACAATTCAGGCTCATTGTTTTACAACTCTGCCGATGAACGTCAAATGAACTCCTCTTGTACTCTTATGAACTACATGACAACATTACTCTATAATGATGATATCACAATCAGTATTGCACTGGCTTCAGTCAGTGAAATTTAGGACTATGTTTTGGCCTCTTCTGCTTTAATCTTGTGCATCACAAATAACAGCTGTCGGCGAGAAACATGGCTATAATTTACCCCAGCAGTGAAGAGGACATCCAAAAACCACAACATGTTTTTCTCATTCCTTATGTCGCCATCTACAAGTCTCTTTCTCCTCCGAGTAAATTATAGGCTCATTATCTCTTCACCAATTATGCATAATGTTATCTTAATGGCATCGGCAAACTTCTGAAGTCACAAATGTACCCCACACACCAGACAGTTGACCCTCCGCGGCACAGAATGAGCATCAATCATTGCGGAGATGTGCCTTACCACATCAAAACATTTCGACTGCTTCACAGAAGTTACTGTCAAGTGTAATGACCATCTTTTGCAGTCACAAGTAGCATCCATTTTACACACATCAAGGTTCCCCATGGGTGTGAATGATCTATTTATCTGGAGGAACCTGACCAGGAAACCAAGAGAAACTCTTCATACAGTCGTGGGATCTTTAACGTCCACCTGAACAGTAAATCGGGACCTTGGGTTAAAGTTTCATTCAAAGGATGGCATCATGAACAATGCAGTGGAACATTGGAGTCAGGCTAGGTTGAGCTCAAGTCCCAATGTGGGCTTTGAACCCACAACCTTCTGACCCAGAGACGAGAGTGCTACTAAATGAGCCAAGAACAGCTATGAATCTTGCTGTTGGAGAGGGAGGGTGTGCAGTCACAATTTAAAAAGGAACAACTGCCATGTTAAATGAATGGTGCTGGTGATTGATGGGTTATAATGTGATAGGATGTAATCGATCAGCGTTGCAAGGAAATCTAAAATTCTGCATGACAGAAAATGTCCCAAATTTTTGAGTTATTTGAAGAATGCCGCTAATTTTCATGGCCTGGGATAAAGGAACCACTTGATTTAATACCAGTGAATTTTAAACACGGTGAGGGAAAACTAGCGCAGGTTTGTTTTCATTTCAAACAGATCAACCAACCACTTCTCCCACTCTCTCTCTTTCCCAACAAAATCAAATCACCGCATTTCTAACATGAAAAGGAAACAAAGCTGAACTTAGCTGAAAGCTTCTGTGAATTACAATCGGATAGATTTTTTTCTCGCTCAAATTCATCAATTAATCCTCTTGGTTATGGACCATATTGCTTAAAACTTTTAAATGCAATCTTAATTAGGAAGCCATAGGTGGAATCTAATTTTTTAATATGCTAATGATAATAATCCTTGCATTTATATAGCGCCTCATCAAGTCGTTGAGACGTCTCAAAGGGCTCACAGAATTTATCGTAAAGAGGAGCGACTGTGTATTTTGTATCCGAAACACCGCAGCCAATAAGTATACGGGGTAGAGAAAAACACAATTGATATTGAGATGAAAGCTACATAGAGTACTGGAATGCAATTAATTGAAACACTTAAGTATACCAACTGGGAATCTTAGAAATGAACAATCATTCTTCTCTGTAGCAATCATTGTGGTCACATTCAACTTCTCCGCAATAAGTCAAAGGGGCGAGAAAAGATTAACAAACAGAAGACTGAATATATGAATAATCCTTACATTTGAATAATTTGTCAATTATATTATCTGTGTGATTGTTGGCAAATGTATAATTGTAATTAGTGATGATTTTAGATTTCAAAACAGAAATCAGTTGATGGATTTGCTTCAATCAACAAGATAGTTGCCAACAGGAGTCAAAGGACAGATGGGACAAGCCACGAGTTGGGGTATAATACCACAACAGTACATCCAAAGTAAAACATGCTGTGGAGTCAAATTTCCAAAGTGGATGATTGCTTAAAATATAAAACTTGTGTGTAACTAGAGAGAGATTAACATCAAGAGGCTTGGAATAAATGCTAATAAAAACTAGTTAAAACTTTCATTTTGTCCAGAAATGCAATTATTGTCAAAAGGTTAACTGCACCCTTCATAGTTTTAAAAATTCTTTATTTTAGTGTCGAGACTGAAATTTGTATTCACACTTAAACACGTGTAAAGTTTACTAAGATATTAAAACCAAGTTGTTCAAAAATATTTCATTCAAACCTTTTTTTAAAAAAAAGCAGATTAGAAGGTAGAATTGTTTCATTTCACAAGACAGACACGTAAACATCTGTCCCACATCAGCCATCTATCCCGACTAAGCTCAATAGAAATGTATTTCAGTTGTACAAGTGAGGATAGGTATATCAATATATCTGTCCGTAGAGACCTTACATAGACGTGCTGTCATAAAGAAATCACTGACACTCATTAAAATACTTCAAAAGTAGTTTTAGGTCAAGAGACTTTTTAATAACTGGTGTGCTAAATTAGAATAAAGGTCAAACCAAGAGAAGTGATGGTATGTTAGGAAGTATTAAACTTCTGCAGCACGCTTTATAACCCAGCTACGATAAGACTTTTGTTAATATTCATCAAATTACAGAAAAAGGTCTGTCCAAGAAAACAGACTGTCGACCCTTGCTGTCATTTTTCCCTCTCCACCTCCAATAATTTTACATCACGGAAAGGTCTGGGAGGTCTGTCCAGCTTTGCCTTAAGCCACCAGCAGCTGAACAAAAGCCCTCCCCTTGTCCTTGTCAGCACCTGAGGCTAATTGATGGCTGGGGAGGAGCTAGGCATGTGTGTAGTGGCTGGGAGGAGCAGTGGCTACACATGCACGGATATTTAAGATGCTGCATTCAGGTCGTTCGCAAGATGATCCTCTCATTCTTTGGAAAAGAACGGTCGAGGCATTACGTTTGACGAGCCAGCCGCAGCCAGCTCCTGACGATCGCTGAGAAAAAAAGTGTTCAAGAAGAAAGATTTTAAAAAAGACTCAGTATTTTTTTTAAAAAACTTCCAAAGGTATTTAAAGTACCTGTTAAACTACCACTGGTAGTGCTTCAAAATAAATTACCGCTTTGGTGTAGAAGCAAACTGACAGCTGTGTAAGAGGCTAGCCCAAGGACAATTCCTTCATCAATAAAGTTACGGTTCCATTTATCAAAATGCCTTTCAAAATTTCACTCCTGCTTTTCCCCCTCGTTGTTTTGCTGTGCAGCTTTTCTTTGAGCTACAGCAGGGCCCCCAAATCGACTCGGAGGAGAGGGGCAGCAGGAGGGGCAAACCTTTTGAAGCTCATCAGCTGCTGTGATGATCTGAAGGAGCTGAAGGTCCAAGTGGCCAACCTGACCAGCATCCTGTCTGATGTCAGTAAGAAACAGGAGGCGGACTGGGTAAATGTGGTCATGCAGATGATGGAGCTGGAAAAAGGCTATCGGCAGATTGAACCCCGCATCACAGAAGCAGAGGGAAGATACTCGGAAGTGAATAACCGGATAGACATCATTCAGCTTCAGGCAGCCCAAACAGTCACACAAACATCAGCAGGTAAGGACAGACAATAAATGTCCTTTATTAACTACTGTTAAATAAATAGTTTGCCCAATTCACCTTGTTCATACAAAAGCAGTCAACTACACTTTACAGTAAAATCATGTGAATCACTTTGAGACGATTCGACGAGTGATAAGCTGCAAGTTGTTGTTGATTTATCAAACACAGGGATTATTTTTAATATCCTGCTATTGAGCAGGATAATAAACTCAAAGCAAACACATGCCTGTGTAATTAAATTTAAGCGCCAATTCAACACTTATTCAAAGGCAGCTGCAAAAGCTATTTTCATTCCTTTGACTTAAAACGCAACCAAAAATGATGATCAATTTCAAGTTAAATTTAGTTCTGTTGGATGAATTCCATACCCGTTTAAACATGAAAACTAATTTCTGCTTAAACAAAATTCCCAATTTTTCAAAACTGATGTGAACTTCCTCTGAGATTTATCCCAAATCGTAAAAGTAATCACAACCGGTAATGAAGAAATCTGGGATTAATTGGATAATGAAAATCAGGATTTTTCAGGAAACCTGAATTTTAAATCACTCAGATCATGTTTAAGTTTAGAGCCTCTTAAACTGCTAAATTCACTTTCCTTTCAACCCTGATTATGACAACAAATGATTTGTATTTGAATTATCTTCGATTGTTTCAGAATTTGTTAAGCAAACCAGCTACAAATTTTTCATAGAGAATTTAACACCAAACCCATCACTCCGTTTTTTCAACTGTTTTACTTTTGACCACATGCTACTAATTTAACTTTGCCAGCTAACAAGCCAACTCTAGAAGTGATAACATATTAATATATAATATTCACTGAACTTCTGCAAGCTACTGAACACTCTCAGATTGATTCCAAACTTAAGTCTGTGCAACCACTCACCCCTACTGGCACTGTATTCATGCTGTCTGACTGTATAAAGATTCCCTTTTTTTGAAAGAGTCACTAATCAATGCGGTTAATGCTGAAATAATCAGACCTTTGCTTATTTCAAATAAAAAAATCTGTGACTCAAGCTTTAAAAGAAATACAAGTTTCTCAAATATATGGGGAAAAATATGAAAAATAATATTTGTATCAAAATAGTGCCTAATCACATTAACGTCACAAAACACTTCATGATTTTTTCTGCCATCTGTAGTGACCGTGTATTGGTAGGCAAACACTCAGGAATGTCCCACAAATAGTCACCAAATTAATATTTTTTAATCACGGCATTGTTGGCCAGGACTCCGGGACACACTCTTTGCTCTTTTTAAATAGCGTCAGGGGATCGTTAACATCCGCCTGAGTTGGCAGATGGGACCTTGATTTAAGTTTTCATCTGAAGGATGGCATCTCCAAAATGAGGCACAGCCCCAGCACTGCGTAGGAGCGTCTGCTTAAACAGTGAGCTCAAGTACTGATGTAGGGCTGGAACCAATAACTTTCATACTTAGTCCCGAGAGCATCATCAACTGAGCCAAACGGACACTTATATGCATGGAAACAATGAGGATTGAGGAATAACTAATGAAAATTGTCCTGTATTAACTCCCCCTCTCCCTAGCTCAGATTTCCATACCATCTCTGTATAGCTTTCCAAGAGTTTATCTTATTGAATGATGCTGTATAAGTTTAGGTTGTTACAACATGACCAACAAGCCTACAGATAAATTGATCATTCAGCTCATGGCTGTTTGAGTGATTTTGCTGTGTGCAAAATGGTTGTTGCATTTGCCTACAATTACACAGACAAAACTTTGAATAGTAATTGCCTAATTGCTTGTGAAGCACTATGTGACATTTGGACATTATAGACACTACATCCAAAGTAAGGGTGATTAGTATTACACAGACAAATTCACATTGTGAACAGATTGTGATGTGTTAATTGATAATAATCCCTCTATTTCCATAACTGAGGTTACACCGAAATGTAAAACATTTTGTTTCAAGTGTTACAGAAAACTACGATTTATCATGATGATTATCACTACAAACTCTCTTTCCCTCAAAATACAACTTCAGAAATCCTTGCCACTAACTCCTGCCCCTCACAACTGTCAGGTTCACTTCAGAAGGACCACAATTCACACTCACATCCGGTAGCTGAGATCTAAGGACACAACACCCACATTCCAATCTAATGCCTACGGCTCATAGGAACAGGTGAAGCCCAGTCAAATCAAACAAGAAAGCCAGACGTCACTTGTGTAAGTTCACTGCAGGGCAGCAGTGCGGAGTGCTGCATTATTGGAGGTGCATACATTCCTGTCTGACATTAAATCAAGGTTCCATCTGTCTGTTCGGGTGGAAATTAAGCATTCTTCGGCATTATTCAAATAGCAAAATTTCACCAAGTATTTTAATATCAGACAGATTGTAAACACACAGGAATTTTTACTAAATTCTTAAATTCAGTCTCAATTTGAAAGAAATATTTTCAGTCATTCTCGAGAGAAACTGACTTGAAAAATAAGAACAAATGTAACATTTCTTCACAATTCCATGCATTCTTAAATTTTAAAACAGAATGGGTTTACAGGCTGGTACCGAAAGCCATTTTAGACCTCTGATTAGACAGATTTGTGGGTGGTTGTGTTCCAGAAATGAACTGAGGAGAAGCTTGGAAAAATGCAGGAGGAAGAACCTTTTACATCCACGATCTGGAATATCCCTTTCAATAATAAAGCTGAGATCACAACATCAGGAGATTACAGGCTTGTCACTGAACACCGACCCAACCAATGTCATTACACTATCCTAACAAACACTTAGAACAAGTGACTTTAAAATACTTCAGCATTCACTGTGGGGGAACCTGTTAACCCACCCAGTCTCTGCAAAACTAAATAGATTCCTTTAGCATATCAATGGCTAAGCTTGTGATCAGTCTAATCAGAGGCTAAAAACTGCCCGTTCTCAGCCTATAAAGATTATTTTTTGCCTAAAATGTAAGATTGCACAGACGACATTAGGTAAATTTGCTGTGACGTCTTGGCTTCAGCAAGTTAGTTGAAGCGTGACGTGACCTGACAGAAATTGGTGCTTGTCTGGACTGCTACAGCCCTGGGCTTGGAAAGATCAAATATCTCATGTGCAGCTGTGGACAATGTCAAGAATGCAACCTTAAATCAAGGATGTTAAACATTGAGATAATTGTACTCATCTGTTTCAACAACACAAAAGGAGTGTAAAAAGGGGACTCTCCACATTTATATAACAAAACGATTCTCTGCGTACAACAATAACATATTGCATTTGTACAGCGCCTTTTACATCGGGAGGATGTCACAAGGAGTTGGACAGTGAAGGGTATCCCCCGAGCTGGGAGTTGGAAGTCAAATGGGATGGGGGAGGATGACCAAAGGCATAGACAAAGAGGAAGGTCTTGAGACGGGCCTTGAAGGAGGCAAGGACACGAACACACACACTGTGCTGATTCACCACTTGTATCTGTATTGTGTGAATGTACGTAAGATGTTTTCTACTAAAACTTGTGCATGTGGCTAAAATTGTGTTGCCACAGCCACAACTGTGTCTAGTCAGCGATTTCTAGTGAACAACTGCCGATATGGCTGATATGATCAAAAAATTCTACCTGTTGAAAGATTGCTCGACACTTGAGTCAAAAAGAAAAAAGAAATTTCTTTCAGTTTTCTGCCAACAATCCTTCAGATAAATTGGTCATTCACTTCATGGCTGCCATTTTTGCCCACAAATACGTTGTTACTATGTTTAACAGTAATAACCTGAGAAGTGCTCTGAGACATTGATGTTATATTGATGATTATGTTAAATCAGCCAGTTAATGTTAAATCACTTTCTACTGTGCAAGCTGATGATGCAGGATTATTCCCACTTTGTGTTCCTGCACTCAATTGACCTTCACTCATCAAGCAGAAGCATCTAAAAGAAAGTAGTGTAAAAATGCTATTTGCAGTGTAGAAGCTGACTCTGATGAGGCAAGAGTCTGAAAGATCAGAAAATAAAATAAACTGACACCCACTTCCTGGGTGAAAAATTCCAGCACAAAAGATGGGCATTGCACAATAATTTACAAGGTGTGTAATAAGGTGATATAAAGTAATTGGAGTGTTTGATGGATTCCACAGCCAGTAAACCAATTAGAAAGATTTGAAAAGCAGTAAAACATTTGTTCACATTTTAGGGCTTTCTTTCTTGTTGGGGATACGCTAACCAACCATTTCTGGAGCCAAAGGCAGGTCACAGCAGATAAGAGGCTAAAGCAAAGATCAAAGCTTTTGCAGTGACAGTTTTTGATTGTTGCAACAAAGCGAGTTCCCAGTAATGAGGAGTCTCAAGGCTTACTTTGAATGGCATCTCATTTCAAATTTAAACATGAAAGGCAATGAAAAAGAACTCAGCTTGTCAGAGCACCTTATCATGTTCAAACACATCAAAGATCCAGTTTTGAAGAGAAGACGACTTGAATATTGATAGAGCTTCATGTACACTCCAATCCCCAGCTCAGATACATCACCCTTATAGTAGTGTCGCAGCTATCATGTAAAACAACTTAGCTTCTTGGGATTACATCTGTTATGATGTCATAGAACCAGTCTTACAAAAATAACTTAACATAAATTATACATGGAGGGTTTCCAGGGATAAGGGGGTTTAGTTAATGAGATTTGAGATGTTGGGGCTGATTTTAAGAGTCAAACGGTAGCCCGAGGATTACAAAGTAATAGTAATTGATATCTCTACTGGCATTTCAATGTCAGTAACAAAAGCTAATCCTAGGAGAATTAAAGGGAAGGTTAGCAATAAACTGCTTTTTCATAGTTTGGTTGGAATGTGGAGTTCATTACCAGAAACTATTACTGAGGCAAAGACTGTAAATTGTTTTAAAAGGGAATTGGATTGGGTATGGGGAGCAAGGAGAGTGAGATTGGACAAGGCAGGGCATGGAGAAACAGCAGCACAGACTCGATGGGTTAAATGGCCTGTTCTTTACTGTGAGATTCCATAAAATCATAAAATGGACGGAGCAACCAGACTGGATTTCATAGACGGACGTGTATAAAGCAATTTTCCACAGAGTTAAAAAATTGTTCACATATTCTCAGAAAGGTGTTCTGTTACTAACTGAGTGCAGTCTGCCACTTCATAACGTAATCCATTCCTTACAGATGCCATTTATGATTGTGCATCGCTGTACCACAGGAATTATCGGATATCTGGGGTGTACAAGCTGCCTGCTGACGAGTTTCTAGGAACTCAGGAACTGGAGGTGAGCTTTTTTTTAAACCTCAAATTCCATTCCTGAAGCTTTTTTTATTCCAAGTGTACTTTGTCAAGTGCGCTGGTGTGAATACTTTCACAGATATGTACTATGGTATGTGATAAATGTCTACTACGATATGTTCCAAATATGAGCTGCCGGGTATTTCAGACATGCGTTGTGTCATGTTACATGCCTGTGCTTTATTTTTCGCAGGTTTACTGCGATATGGAAACGAACGGAGGTGGCTGGACTATCATACAGCGTCGCAAAGTTGGCCTAACCTCATTCGATCGTGACTGGAAAATGTACAAGCGAGGTTTTGGCAATAACCGTGGAGACTTCTGGTTAGGGAATGAACACATCTTCCGACTAACCAGGCAGCCAAGTATGCTCAGGATAGACATGGAGGTAATGATTTGGGAGTCATTTGCATCTTAATTCTTCGCAAAAAGGTTCACATTCACACTTACAATTGTCACTTAAAAAGTAAAATGAGTTATAAACATTAATTATTATTATTATGCTACATCCTCTTATCACTATTTCAGCCAGATAAACTTGTGCTGTACCCCTGTCCATAGTTCCGGGGAATCACATTTCTCTGACTTTAACAAGCACTTGTCAATTCACTTGGGATGCCGCAGAATTCTAGCAGTAATTTGTATAGTAAACAATTTTGATCTATGCAACCACAGGACTGGAAAGGAGAGACCCGTTATGCTGAGTACAGCTACTTTTCAATCAGCAACGAAATGAACAGCTACAGATCAATGATCGGCCATTACAATGGGACTGCTGGGCGCGACTCCCTTCGGTACCACAACAACACTGCCTTCAGCACAAAGGATAAGGACAATGACAAATGTGTGGATGACTGCTCGCATTTGCGCAAAGGTAAGTGATAACTCGTTGAATTTAAGATACATTTTCTGATCCGAATTGGCCACAGTATTTTTAGCTCACTGAAGTTTCATGTAATGTTGTACTAACAAATGCTCACATTAAGGTAGACAGAATATTTCTGGCAATGCGTGCAAGTAATTCACTCTACACATTGAATGAAGAACAGCCAATTTTGTATGAAACAGATTAGAGAAAAAAGTTTTGCTTCCATTAAAAAAATGTAAATATGTTTCTTTGAACCCTTAACACAACAGAAAGGGATTAAAAGTGCAATTTTGACAAAATTGTTTTGTAAGGTCATTAACTCCACATAGAGAGAAAGTCACTAGCCACCATGCTATAGGGCACAGTAAAAAAAGAAACCCCCATTTTGCTTGTATGGAGTCCTGTAGCTTAGTGGTTAGACCGCTCATCTTTCAAGCAAGAAGACTTGGGTTCGATTCTGGGGTAGGGCGAAACCGTTGGCAAGTTTCCTTACTGTTTGCCTAGCAGTAACTAGGAACCTGAGTGTTTAGTCGATTGGCGGATCATTTTCTGGGGGCGCGGGGGGTTTAAATCCCTTCAAAAAAATAAAAATAAAAAATAATTTCGTCACTTAATCCACGATTATTTGTGGGACACTGCTGTGCACAATTATATCGTCTACAAAAAATATACAGTCTATTCACTTTACAGTATATTCTGTGAAGCACTTTGAGACGTTTCGAAGACGTGATGAGGCACCATACCAAATGCAATAATTATTATTATTATGACTACAGGTGGCTACTGGTATAACTGCTGCACTGATTCCAATCTGAACGGTGTCTACTACCGTGAAGGGGATCACACAGGAAAGGCGGAGGGGATCACATGGTACGGTTGGCACGGTTCCAGCTACTCACTGAAACAAGTCGAGATGAAGATTCGACCCCAAAATTTCAAACCTTGAACAAGCTACACACATTGACAGCTCCGTAGGCAGGATATTTCTTGAACAGCTAGAATCGTATTGTTTTCCTACAGAATTGTGCCTTAGTGTTTTAGGGACGAAGAACATTTTCTTTTTTTTAATATAAAAAAACTCGGGGAAGCAAGTTTCTCAAACATTTCTATCCCCCGCACCCACTGTATTCCTAGAGATAAATAATGCAAGGTTTCTAGATTAAAGTAAAAAGTTCCACACGTACAGAACTGGGCTCTGAAATGTTGCACTTCAACAAATTGGAATTATCACTTGCAGAATTGCCAATGTGGCTTTCAATGGATTAAAGCGTTTGATGTAAAATTTCAGTAGCGTTTCCGCAATCGGAAAATCAATTCTAGAAAGTTAAGGATTTCCCTGCCTCACCATGACAACGGTTTGAGAAAATCTTCAAAAAAATTTAACACCACCTAAAACAATAGTGAATAATAATAATAAGAAGAGTTTTATCCTATCAGGCAAATATCTGAGTTCACTTGATTCATATTGCATTGGGAGTATTTGTCTCAACACCCCAATCCCATGTTACTTACTACTTTCCACCTAGTTTACAAACTAGATGAAGGGTTAAGGAATCGCTCTGCTTTTGTGAAATTGCCCATTTGTGGTCCGCAGCCGAACACTCTTGCCTCTCAGTCAGTCTGCTTGATTCACTAACTATTGGAAGAGCAGCTTGCCTGGGGATTGATTTAAAGAGAGGTGAACTACATTCTGTTCACAAGATGGCAAGCCTGTGTGCTGGGCTTCATTAACTCTTGACTCTAGGTCGCAAGTTTGTAGGTTCAAGCCCAACCTCACACTCTAGGCTGACATTCCAATGCAGCACGGAGGGGGTACTTCATTGTTGGAGGTGCAGTCCTATGGGAGGGATGATAAAATTGAGGTGCCACTGGCCTGTTCAGGTTTGGTTTAAAGATTCCATGGAACTATTGGAAAAGAGAAAGGAATAAATTCTTCTCCCAGTGTTCTGGCTATTTTCTAAAAGCAAACAACACTAATGTAAATGACAGCAAATATTCTTAATTTATACAACCTGCTGAGCTGCAATATTGCTGTTCACACTACAATAAGCTACCCTGATCTTAGCCCTGTCAGGCCATGTGGGTGTATTAAAAAGTTTAAAGCCAAAATGAATAAGAAAAGAAATATAAAAGAAAATTGCCTGCATTATTTCTTTAAAATAAGGGAAAACGTACATAAATAAGAAACTAAAACCCTCCTAATGGGATTAACAGTTTACTGTATTACTGCATCAAATTCCCTGACACAAGACAAATTGCAAAGATGCCAAATACGTCACATCCTGGAATGCACATATCTTTACTACAGACATCTGACTTTTATGTTAATGTTAAACAAATCTGAGTCTGTGCTTCATTCTATCAGAATGCATTTGAGCCCAGGCACTCAGTTTCCCAGAAGCATTGCAAATTGTGTGGCATATCAACATGTCATCAAATCTCAGGAAGTTCTGGATTTTCCACATAATCTAAAAAGTCTAGTTCAGGTGATGTTTGGAGGGAAAAGATAGTCATGGTTCCTAATTAAACTGAATGACAAGATAACTCCAATATCACAACCTGCAACAGATGCTAAGTACTTACTAATGTGGCCACACTACCATTATCAGTATGTGAAGATTAATTACGTGAAGATTAGTATGTGGCTTTATTTTCTCCACTGGTTTATGTTTGGCTCAACTTCAAACCAATGTTTTAATAGACAGTATTAACAAGCAACTTGGACAACTTTTACCCATCTATTCCTTAACCAGTTTTTCTCACTTTTTTCATTTGTGGGGGTAAGTTTGGGTGAATGAATGGTTGAAGGCAGCAAGTTAAAGCATTATTCTAGTTAATTTGCTTTTACTCTAGTAAAACACAACAGGCTTTTTAGGCACACATGATACCACTCTATATAAGCACAATATAAGCATCCATTGTTCTCTGCCTTTTATGTTAGGTCGCTAAATTAAATGCAACATGTTTTAATTCTCCAAAGGTGAAACAGCAGGCTTCTTGACCACAAGCCATCATAAATCTTGTATTGATTTAAGAGACCATAAATTCTTTTTAAAAAAAGGAGATTCAGACAGATGCTTGAAGAGGAATATTGAAGAGTTTGGGGGAAAATGGATTAGATTAGATGGCTAAATGGTCTGTTTCAGTGCTTTGACACTCTATGATGCCAAAGACAATAACAAAAGGCAGACATCAGACCATCGGTTGGATAATGGGAGACGGGAGTTATTTTGCACAGAGGACTGAGGTTATAACTTGTTTTTTTCATATTTAATCAAAACAAATGCAACTGTTTTGCCAGTTATGTAATATCCTTATTTTTCCAATTGATTTAAATGCTATGAATGGCTATAAACGCCATAAGTGTATAAAGCTCACGCTATAAAGCTCACGCTTAGCAATTTAATTTCTGTGTGTAAAATATTAGCTCATTATTCACTGGAGACAAATAATCAGCATTACCCGGTGGGGAAAGTGGTCAGTCTGTGACAATGTACCCCGAAATACGCAATCTCTGACTGTGCGCTATTTGTATGTGTTTAAAGGGAAAAAAAATACTCATTAAAAGCAAATGGCAGTTGCATACAGCAAATCCTGTTGTGCTAATAGAGATTAATCTTAGGCTCTATACAGCGTATTGTGTACACAGTGCGTAGTTGTAAATCCATTTCAGGTTATTAATAACTTAGAGTTGAACACCAATTTCCTATGAACATGCCTATATTTGAACTAAAACAAAGTCACCCCTATGTACAGAATGCTGGGCACAATATAAGTTCTGTTCCTGCAGGCCAAACCCGTTATTAGGCTTCTTGCTCAGGTTCAAATGGATGTCCGAAAGCGTGGTACACTTCCCACACAGACACCCAGGCCGTCTTCCTGCACTACAATATGTTCTACAAGTTGCTCAGGCACTGTCACCCTCCGAGCACTGCACATGTGGACTGTGTGGAGGAAGCACTGCTGATGTCACAGTCTGTCTGCTATGTGCAAGAGGTACCATTGACAAGAACCTGACAATGTAGAAATGAGTGATTTTTCACGCTCTCTGGTTTAACACCGAGGCCTGAGATGATGGACCTACAACGTGTTTCAACAGTCATGCACTATAGGTAGCAATGCTTGCTTCCCCTGGGCACATCAAGTCAGATTCTGGTACGCTATTAAACGTTAAAGGCCAACGCATTACACTGGCTGTCTGTGAACATGTGCTTTGGACAACCCTAGTTGGAAGAAGACTATTTATTTGGAAACCAAGGGGGAGACTTGGAGGAGCAGCTCACCTGGTGTCATTATTACACTTGTCAAAATCACAATTATCATGACTTCACAAAAACTGCTGGCCAGTGGCCAAGATAATGTAAAATTATTTGCAAATCCAAAGTTTTTTTTTGACACTGGATACTTCTTAAAATGTGGCCAACCCTTCGTAAACTTATTCTATCCAGTCACTCAACCTAAATAGATTTCTGATACAAGGATTTCTAATGCAAGGATGCTGTGTTACCTAGCGCAGTTCCTTTGGTTTATACACATAACGTTACCACGGACTAAGTGGTCCTCAGATAGGTCGGTCTTCCGCTCATTGAGAAACTAGTCGGGCAATTAGTTGGCCGACGTTCTCGTGAGCACAACCAGTGATTTTCACAGTCATGTGTCTGTGGGACGTTGCTGTGCAGAAAATGAATGCCGTGTTCACCTAAAAAATAAACAGTCTCTACACTTCACAGTAAATCCTGCGACGCTTTATGAGGCATCCTCCAGATGTGAAAGATCATACATCAAATGCAAGGATTATTATTATATTATAAACACTGATCTAGTCCAATGCATCAAAAATTTCATGCGTGTCTATTAGAGTGAAGTCACCTTGCACATTTGCTTTGCTTAAGACACAGTCCTCTGATAATTTTAGGCTTCCTTCCTTTAATGTTACCATAGGAAGATGCATATATCAAAGGGCATATAAATTGCAATAATCTAGAATTCAAAATACCTGCAGTAAATTTCACATGTCCAATTCTAAAACAGATGCATGTTGGACATAAACAGATCCAACACTGCTCTCTCCTGAGATTCCCTCTCTGTTACAATTAATGAGGTGGAAATAGAGATTTCAATCCCGCAAGGTTAGACTGTACTTCGCCTGTTATACAAATACCCATACCATTTTGCCATTGTATTTCCTTTTAATCTGATCCATGCTCCACCAGTGCCATATTTCAATTCATTTGTTAGGACTTTGAATCACTAACAAACTCAAAAAGGAGTCATGTAGAGTAGTGGCAAAATGTTGGGCAAGTTTCCTTACTCCACAAGTCTCTGTTTACCTGGTAGTAAGTAGGAATCTGGTTGTTAGTTGATTGGCAGATCGCTTTTCTGGGGCAAATAATTTCTCCAAAAAAAATAATCTGTTCACTCAAGCCACGACTGTTTGTGGGACACAGTTGTGCCCCATTAGCTACCGTGTTTCACCCATAAAATATTCACTTTACAATATATTTTGTGAAGTGCTTGGTGATGTCCCGAAACTCTGATTAGGCTCTATATCAAACGCAAGGATTATTATCCGCCAGGAATTTCTTCAGTATGCAAGGGTGTACCTGTCACACAATAGCTGCAAAGGTATTCATTGTCTGCATATCAGATCTGGTCGCCTTCATCCACTATCTGAAGGAGAAACGCGTGCTTAAACAATATCCTTTAGCTTATTTAGTGATGCTTTGATCCAAATTGTTTCATTTCTGAAATTAGTGCACATTTTCCATTTAGTTTAAAAATAAATCCTAGAAATTACTCCCTCGGTTCTGACTATTACTCCAACAGGCCGAGTTACAGGATTCTACTCAACATGGTTCGTAAGTATTAATTCCCTTTGCTTAATAGTGGCCATAATTGTAACACCACTCAATCAGCACTTAGTTAAGACGTCCTCAAGCTCCAAAAAAGATTACTCTTGCAAATTGCTCTTCGATATCTATTATTCCACAAAATGTCTTGTGGTGATCTTAAAAATTTGGTCACTCAATCCACGACTGTTTGTGGGACACTGCTGTGCGTAATTGGCTGTTTCGCCCGCAAAATAAACCATCAATTCATTTTATAATATATTCCGTGAAGTGCTTTGAAACTTCTCAATGACATGATAAGGTGCTATATCCAATGCAAGGATCATTATTACCATTATTATAATGTACACAGAAGGGTCGCATCTCAGACACTCAGTCCAGTTATTTCCTTTTTCTGCCATCATAATGCTGTTTCGGCACCAAAATTCTAGAAGTCAACCTCCGCCTCCTATACGATGCCGACCCACAAGAACAAGAAGGAACTTACAAGGGCACAGAACTGATGGAAGCAGAAGCCACCGGCTCACAACCAAACTATTCAGACCGTTCAGGGAGGTCGGAGTGG